CAATTTGTTGGGCGCCTCGACGTTGCGGACAGCCAGCTGCAGATGGCGGGGGATGATCCTGGTCTTCTTGTTATCACGAGCAGCGTTTCCAGCCAACTCCAGGATCTCAGCAGTCAGGTATTCCAGCACTGCAGCCAGATAGACGGGAGCTCCAGCGCCCACGCGCTCAGCGTAGTTGCCCTTCCTCAACAGCCTGTGAACACGGCCGACTGGGAACTGCAGCCCAGCACGAGAGGAGCGGGTCTTGGCCTTAGCCCTGGCTTTGCCTCCGGTCTTTCCACGTCCAGACATGTTTAGTGATACAGCTAACTTTTTCCGAAAAATGAAAGAAGTGACGAATCAGCCTGCGTAAATCCTTTATAGATCCTGTCTGTTCAGTGATTGGCCAGGTCTGAACAGAAACGCAACCGCCCAATCAAAATGGTCTGTGTCAAGTTTACGTCCGTGGGAGGATACTTCCGCTTTGCATTGGCTAGGATTTACAAAATAAAAGCCCACACCTGAAGTTAACAGTTGTTTCATTGTAGATTTAAATAGCAGTTAATTACTTTGCAGTGATATACTACATTTTTGTTATGCCACAACTAAATATCAATTAATTGTTATGACTCAAAACTCTAGCTATTAGTCCCTCTAAATTGTAGTGTCTTTGGTTAAGAGAAATGTTTATTTCAGGTTTTAATAGAATTTAGTGGTTCTATTGTTTTCTAAATCTTCAAATCTGTGATTGGTCACAAAGAAAGATGTAGACCTGCCTGTGTCTAAGTTGCTTGTGGAGAAATGTCCTGGGTTGTAAGTAGTGTGGAAACAGGAAGCGATTCTTGTGGAATAGAGGACGAAATAGTGAAAACAAAGAAGATTGGAATGGTCAAAAAAATAGAACAAGCGGAAAAAGCAGAGACCAGTTGAAGGGTAGTCCAGCACAAAACAATAAGTGGTGAACAATCTAGAAAAACTAAAGGATTATAAAGTAATATTTCTAACTAGTTAATCAGTGAGACTCTTTTGCAGATGGGAATCTGGTCAGTTAACAAAATCAATAAACAAATTTGTAGGAGAAGTCAGAAGTGCACAAAAAATATTTTATAGTGGAGACAGGTTATCCTGAGCTATCTCTATAGCTATGCTGCTATAGGCTTAGACTTCTGGAAGACATAGGGACCACTTTTTCTTCTTTTTGCTTTATTCTATCTCTATTCACCTACTCTGCAGAATTTCTTAGTTCAATCTCTAATACTATGCTCTCTCTGCTTTTGCTCATAGTAATTCCATCTGGTCTGTTC